GAAGGAGCTAATTACCTTTGTAAAGGTGTTCTTCTAAGAAGGTTGGGGTTTCCTTTCCTTTGTTTCTATTGATGTTTTCACATGTGTATTATGGAACAAACCAACTGCTACTTCTTTTCCCAATGTTGAAGGACACAGACCACTCCTCCTGGCACGCACTTCACTTCACGGTGTGGGTGGGATCTCCATCCAGCTGTTGCACATGTAACTCTGTAACTCTGACACCTTGGTAGATTCACTGCTACTGTCTTGCCTCACTTCTACTCATGTTACAATATGTATTTCCTATTAAATCCATTATGTTTTCTTGGCAATTTGTTCTTTGTTTCCTTATGGGGTTTAGACAGGAATAGGTGGGAAATGTCTTCTTCACCACAAAGGTTCTGGAAGTATCTGCTACAACAGCAAATATTTGTGAGCAAAGTGGAAATTCATTAGTACAGCCTTAGGAAACTGTCACAGCAGCTGAGCTGCACCATGACTGTATTTTACCACATCATGAAGGCTAAAAGCACATTCACGTGAAGGAACAAATTATTGTAAGGCTCTAGTAACACAATGTAAACTCTTCTGTATTTTAACTTCCTTTTCTGTACTTCCTCTTCCTGGCTATTGTGTGTCCAGCAGTGACATTGTGATGGTGAATTAATTGATTTAAGGCACAGAAATGGATCACATTTCTGGAGCTGCAAGACTTCCTGGCAATCTTCCCAGTTGTACCCCCCACACTGAGTACAGTGAATTAAAAAGGAAAAGAAAGGTTTCTTCTCAACGAGAAACTTTGCATTTGTGTGTTCAGGACACAAAAATGAGCTGATAATGCAGATAGCTCTCACGGTGTGATAAATGTTTGCCTGTAAAAGTAGGTGTGAAGGTTAACCTTGGTATCAGCAATTCTTGTCCCTCGTAAGAACATTCTGCCTTTTCACTCTAGGACTGAGTTAACCTGTTACAAGGGTTGAAAGGTCTGTGCCTTCTTATTATATTCTCTCTTACTAAACCCAACTCCAGCCGCTCAAAGTTACAGAGCATTTGCAGCACTGTAAACTGCACAAATCTCCAACCATTGCTTCACTGCATGAAGTGTAGTCAGATTACTAGTGGTGAAATATTGTAGTGATGAATTCCCAAGCTTATGAATGTTTTGAGACTTTTTTTTTTTTTTAGTCTTCTCTTGGGCTGGTCCTGAGAGTGTGTACAGGTTTGTCTGTATTGTTGGTTTGTAGATGCTAATGAGGAAAACCAGGCTTTTGTTCTCTCCTTTTTGTTTGAATTGTTACACTCCCATATAGTGCATAGAATGCAAATAAAGAAATGTTGATTTGACGTAATGTAAACAGCCTTTTCAGCCTAAGCATTCATAATAAACTTTTATAGTGTAATAACATGCTAAATCACTACCAGTCTGATGTATTGTGCAAAAACAAAAAAAAAAAAGAAAAGGTGTAAACATTTTATTAATAAAAAGCTTTGTTTATAAATGTGCTGGCTTTGTTTATGAATGCTTCCAAAATTCTCAACATCTTAAAAAGCAGTCTCTATAGCGATAGGGTTACAGAAGAGGAATGTAAGCTTTTAAAATAGCATTTACAAACTACTCAGCTGTTTTCCAAAAGTACTGACTCCTGGTGGTTCAGAGACTGGAGCTTTTGCCTGGTTTATGTATACACAGACAAAGGCAGGAGACGATCTTGTGCAAAGAAGGGATGGGGGAAACAGCAGAGAGAATGCAGCTTTTGTGTGACACTTCCTTTCTTTGCAGCATCATGTCTGAGAAACTGCAGGCCACACACAGTCCTGTCAGCCAGGGCCAGACCTGACGAATTCTGCCGGGGCCAAGTTATTTAATACGTTGCTTTTTTACCTTAGGCTGCACGAAATGTAAAAGCCTCGGCTGCTTAGGCCAGGTTTCTGTCAATCAAAGCTGTGAAGTGCTTTTAATATCTGCACAGTGTCGTGGGGGCCTGTGGTGCTGGGGAGGGATCCTCTCTCAGTTGTTAATACAGCCAGCTGGTTGAGAGCTTGCTTTTTTATTTAAACCACTGCTCTGGTGGTTATGTGGAGCCCAGAAATAGGGAGTTGGCTGCAGTTACCTCGTTTGTCTTACGTGATGCTTAAAAGATGGGCTGCTGTTGTTGCAATCTGTGATGCAGGTCTAACATGTGGAGTTAATAACAGCCTTCAAAAGCTAAGCAAACAAAAAAGTCCTGCTTCTGAACTGCTGTTTCACCTGAAAGCGTTGGGTACAAGTTTTTACTAAGCAAGTGGCTGCATTTCCTATGCAGGAAACACACATTGTCATCTTTTTAACAGACCTGGAATAATTTAAACTTACTGTTACCTGCCAGTTTGAAGTTCCCTCTTAGATGTGTGCAAACTGCTTTTGAAGAGTGTCAAATGTGTTTGCATGAATGTGCAAAAGAGAGGCTAAGAAAGGCAGACACAAGGAATGTGCTAAAATAGAGAGAAAACCACATTTGCATGTGTTTGCATAGGGAATCTAGGGAACTAAATGCAAACCACCAGATTTGCACACACACAATGAGAATGTTTTACTTGGATCAAGTGTTTCATTACTTTTAGGGTAAAAGTTTTTTAGCAGATAAAACTGTTCTTCAAGACTGTTGCACTGCAAAGCTATCAGATGCTGCCCAGCATTTCCCTGTAGGGTTCATCTCGATTTTTTCCTGTTAATCAAAAACCCACTGGGGCAACAAGTTGCCTTCTTGTGGCTGCATTGTTACAATGAGTGCTGGCTGTGTAACAAGTGTTGCAGGTGACCACCACACCTATTTCAGTGAATCTGATCTGCACAACACTAAATGTTCACGTGTGATTTACACGTAACAAAAACCTGACATTCATTGGGCTTCATAAATTTGCAACCTAAACAATGCTGTGCTTTATAAAAACATCACCCTGGCTGAAAACGTGGGCGGGTCCTTCAAACACAAGCAGGTAAATGCCAATTATGGTAAGATGATACATCCTGGCAAACCCTTTAAGATGTGGATCATCAAACGCTTCAGGGTGTTCTTTGTACCTCTTTCAGGAAAAGCAGAACTCGGAAAGGTCTGGGCAGCAACACTTAATAGTTGTTTATTTAGGGGTTTTTATTATGTGTGACTGTATGTTGTGTAAAGCTTTCTCTCTCATTCCTCACCGTTAGCTTGCAATTAACTGGCAGATATGCATAAAGCTTGTCTTTTCTACTAATTACTGGTCTAAGAATGCCTGGCTCAGAGAGAGAGTCTGTTTATGACATAAAACCCAAGAGATCTGGTGAAAGAAGATAACCTTTCCACACCATGAGCCAAGAAAGCTCTACTCCAAAATATAACTGATGTCAGTTCTCTCCTGACTTGAGAACTAAAATGTTATGACACAACCTGTAGTTTAGGCTAAAAATTAACCCACTTTAAGTAGCAAAAATAAGCCAAGAACATCCGAGGCTCCAAATCTAATTAACTAAGCAAAATAGAATAGCAAGGACCTGGAAAAGAAAGTGCACTCCTTTATGCTGTTGTGTGACCATCCTTTCTAGGGAAGAAGAGCAGTATGTGAGTGTAATGCCCTGCATTGCTGAAGCTTCTAAAAATTGGTCCTGCTCTCCAGGCTGGAAGGAGTTCACAGGTTTCACTTGTATGAGGCAAAACCAAGACTTATACTAAATACATGTATGGCTTTGGTTTGGTTTGGCATGGAATGAAAGACATCTTGGAACAAAAAAGAAGATGAAATGGGATTGGAGGTGGTGAAGCAGATGAGCTGAAAAACAGGGATTGTCATGGACAGGAGCAGCTGAAGGGTGAGATGTAAACACTGCAGATGTGCTCAATGAATGTCCCTGTCCTGCTCAGGGGTGTTAATCTTAACATATCTTTATTCACCTCTCAGCTGTTTGCTCATCAGCCCTGATTAGGATCCAACATAACTGTGTACTTTGAGTTGCCATCCTTTGGAAGCTTTTTATCTCTGCAAGTGGCATCTCCTCCTGAAGTCCTGTTTATAATATATAAAGGTCATTTGGCTAATGAATACTTCTTGGTGTATAGAAATTACCAGTTTTTAAACCAGTATGTTTCTGCTGGTACCACAGGCACCCCAAACTCCTGCCTCTGACAGGTTACAGCAATGCTTCATGAACTCTTAGGAACTTTTCAAATGTTTAAAACAACCTGAGAAGAGAGGGGAGAAAATAAAAAAGCTGTTACTGTAATTACACTGGCCTAAGGCTATCAATAAACCAAGCTGTAAATTTAAAAAAAGGAAAAATATTTTAAACCACCAGAGTAAAACCCAACCAAACAAAACTAAATCCAAACAAACTAAATGCAAACAAAACAATCCCCAAAACACAGCAACCAAAAACCACCCCAAACCAACCAAACAAAAGCCCCAAGGAACAACCCAAATGCAGTTACGAAAGGGGAGCGGGGATGTCTTAAAACCGCTGAGACGACGTGAAATTCTGGTTTTATTCATTAAAAAGCGAGTGTTTCCCGTGGCTTGATGCCCGTTCCCAGGGCTGCCCTGGTCCCTCGCTCGGATCTGCCCCGGGGTGTCCCCGCACGGAGCAGCTTCGGGAGCTCCTCCTTTTCCCGGGAGCGCTTCCCTTCCCTTCCCTGTGCCTGGCCGAAGGCGCTGGAAGCCGGGCAGGGCCGGCGGTGCCCGAGGGCTGTCCCTGCAGCCCCGAGGCCACACGGCACGCAGGCCCACAGCAACGCCGCTTCTCGACAAGAGGATCTGAATACAGAGCACGACTTCCAGCGGCGATTAAACACCAACTCGGCCCCTTTCTTCCCGCAAGGCTCCCGCAGCCGGAGCAGCGCCCAGAGCGGAGGCGCGGAGCCTCCCCCGCGGCCCCTCACGGCGGGGCCGGGCCCCACGTCAGCCGCCGCCGCAGCCTCTCCGCGGGCCCCTCGGTGCTGCATCGGCCCGCCCTCCGCCCGCCCTGCCCGGGCAGCGTGTGCGCCGGAGCCGCCGCCCCAGCCGCTGTCCCCGCTCCGCCGCCGGCACAGGGAGAACGAGCAGCCGGCACAGGGTGAACCACAACCCCCGGGGAGGGTGAAACGCCGCCCGGCCGAGGGGTGAACAACCAGCCGGGCGCGCCCCCCGCCCGCCTTCCCTCCTCCCTCCCTTCCTCCCTCCCCTCTTCCTTCCCCTCCCTCCCCGTCCCTTCCTCTCTCCGCCTGGTGCCGCCACCGCCGAGGAGGAGGAGGAGGAGGAGGAACATGGCGAAAGCGGAGCAGGTCCTCAGCCTCGAACCGCAGCACGAGCTCAAATTCAAAGGTACGAGGCGGCCGCCGCCATCCCCCGCTCGCCGCCGCTCCCCGCGCCGGGCGGGCTGCGCGGCCGCGCTCCGGCCCCGCTCCCGGCAGCCATTTTCCGGGGGCCGGGCACCGCCGGCAGAGAAAATGTCCTTCAGCGCCGCGCCCTCGCCCCGCCGGGCCCCCAGCCCCGCGGCGCCCCGGGCCGCCCCCAGCCCCGCGGGGTCCCCGGGCCGCTCCCCCGGCGCCGCGGGCGGCTGCGGCAGCGCCCAGGGCGGCCCGGGCACACGGCGAGGGGGGGTCCCGGCCGCCGCCTGCGCCGGCAGCTCCCGCTCCCCCCGCGCTGACCTTCCCGGGCAGCGCCCCGCAGGGCGGGCACCCCCCGGGCAGCGCCGGCACCGGGGGGGTTCCCCGGCACCCCCTGCCCAGCCCGGGGGGCGTGAGCGGCCCCGGCCGAGGGCTCTGGTGCTCAATATAGGACAGCGGTGTCCGTGAGGTGGGACTGGGAACCCGCTGTCACAATCCCTGGGAATGGGTAAAGGGCTCAGCCAAAAGGAAAAAGCAGGAAATTGCTGCCTCTGATGCCGTTTAAGTGCGCTGTGTGGCTGTTCCGTATAAAATCCAGAGGGAGGGAGGATGTTGGGAATAAGGTGGTGAACGAGGATTTCTTCTGTAACGTGTCCCAGTCACTGTGGGGTTGTTTCAGCCTTGTCTGTCTCTGGTCAGGTGCTGGGCAGCACTTCCTGCCATTATTATTATTATTATTATTATTATTATTATTATTATTATTATTATTATTATTCAGTGAGCTATTTGGATAAATAAATAATCTGCCTGTGCGAAAATCCATCCTTTTTCTAAATAAAAGTCTTGAATGGGTTTGGGCGTCCGCTGGCGCTGAAATTCCTGTCTTGCAGCCTGACAGCACAGCTGTAATACAATATTCTGGGATTACAAATAAGCATTCAGCAAGTTTATTTATGCGACCAGAGTCAGAGGTGTTTTATGGCTTCGCTTGATTTTCTGGCAAACGTGCTTTTTTAAAAATAGGGATTCATTTATTGGCTTCTGGCAAAAACAATACTCCTTTGGAAAAAAGCTTTCATGTACATTTTGAAATATAAGGGAGGTCTGTAACAGTTTTTTATTAGTAAATATATTTGAACTAATGATAAGAGATGGGTTTATCTAACAGCATGTTAATAAACACTGGGTGGAATGAATATATCTTTGTTGTAAGCTGAAGTTGTTATGGCAGCAGTATCAAACATGCTTAAGAAGGAAACTATTGTTGTTTTGGCATTCTTTGTGTTAAGTATGAGCAGATGAAAATCAGCTCTTGTTCTGGATAAAACTGCTTTCAGCAAACAAGCAAATCCAAGCTCAGGTGGGCTAAAAGTGGGACCTTAATTGGCACTGACTTGGCTAATGAGGCATAATTGTGGTTCAGGGGTTGTTTTTCTTCTTTCACTTCAGCACAGGTAGGTATAGACCCAGTCAGGCTCTGGTTTTTTTTGAAACAAAGAGAGTTTGTCACTCTGCCTTTCTTTCAGTTGGGGTTCTGGGCTAGATAACCAGTAGCCATTGAAGTTAAATCAACCAGCCATAGTGATTTTGGTTGCCAGATCTTTAGCCAGCAACATATACTCCTTACAGCATAAAATGTTACTGGACTAACTGCACCTATTAAATGGCTTCGTTTCAAAGTACACTTAAATATTAATGTTCAAACAGACTTAATGCTGTGGGCAGCATTCATATGCTTTGGCAGTACCTCTGCCTTACAGTCCTTTCTAGCAAGCAGGGCTGAGCGCTGTCCTTCATTCAGCAGAGCCCAAGTTGAAGTATTCATGAAGTAGATTCTGCTCCAAGCATTTCTTGTCCTACTGACTTTGTGATGACATACTGCCTGGTGGTAGGGCTGAAATGGTTTTGTCACCTTTCTGAATAGTTACATTTATTTCCAGAGCGTTTCTTGGCCCCCCTGCGAGTAGGTCCAGACTGGCAGAGGTCACGTTGCTGCTGACTGGGCTGGGAGTGCTTCCCTTCCTCATGGTGTGCACTGAAAGATCTCCTGCTTAATGTAGGAAAAGGAGATAGGACTGTGAGCCAAGTGTCACAAACCCTGGAAATGGATGGAGGGCTTAATCAAAATGCAGACAGGTAGAAAAAGCAGCAAATTGTTAGGGCTAGTGCTGGTTGAGTGCTCTGTGTAGCTCTTCAACATAAAATCTAGAGGGAGGATGTTGGGAATAGGTGAATGAGGATTTCTTCTACAACACATCCCAGTCACTGTGGGGTGCAACCATCTCTCTCTCGGCCTCCCCTTTCACTTGTGAAGGGCTGAAGACCTTTTTAAAGCAGCTTTTTTAGCCCCTTGGTTTGCAGCGAACCTTCTAAATCCGGCTGGAGGTCTGTTTCAAAATGCCGTGCTTATGTCTTGTTTGAAAAAAAAAAAAATATCAAAGGACTTTTTCATGCTGGAATTTTTTTTTTTTTTTTTTTCACAGCATGTGAACATGAGCAGGGGTTGTCTTTCCTCCCGCCTCGCATCTCCTCCACCATAGCACACAGGCTCCAAAATAGCAGCAGCATGTGCTGTGCTGAAATGCAGCTGCGAGTCGTGGGAGGCTGGACACCATTAGGTGCCTGGAGGTGCCCGTTTCCCTGCTCTTTGATGCCATGTGAAACAGGAGCTTCACTGCCTTCAGTGGCTTCCTGCACTTGGTTGTTGTAGATCTGCAGCCCAGGGGAGAAATCATCCAACTGAAGGTTTCCATCTCAGACTTTACTGGTGACAAAGGGTGAAAAACACCGTTGTTATACGTGACATTTACATTTTTGTTTCCCTTTTTTTTTTGTTGTTGTTTTTAACCTGAGAGATAAAGTCAAACAATCTGCCAAGAATTTATTACAACATTCAAGGCTCTGACTTTAGGAATTGCTAGGTTTGAACTTGGACAGGGATGTGGAATTGTGGCCCCTGTTGCCCGGTGCTCTGTGAAACGATGTTAGTGCCACGCTCACAGGAGGGCAGGCCAGCCTGTCCTTTCAGCCCCTCAGGAACAGAGATCAGCTGTTTAATGTCAGCAAGTAAAATTCTGTTAAAATACAGTCTATTTTAAAACTTGCCTGGGTGTGTGGTGTTTGAGGTGCTGCTGGGTTCGTTGCAGGCACAGGCTGTCGGGGCAGGGCTGTTCAGGGGGGTCCCACAGAACGGAGGGGCTGTAGGCTCAGGGACGTTTCAGGAGCGTTTTTGGAGGTTTGCTCCAGGTTAGGCTGGACTTATGACTCAGCACTCTGCCCGTGCTCCCCAAGTGGCTCACGGCAGTACTGCCAAGCAGGGATTAGTGCCTCGCAAAACTCTGCGAGTCACCGCCGGTTGGAAATGCAGGTTCCTGTCCCCAGCTCGTGATTTCACACCTGTGCAAAATGTCACTGTGTAGCTGTGCTTTCTGCAAAGGGCACAATAATACACCAGAACAGCCAATCCTCTGCAGTCCTAATAGAAGGGCTTCAGACTTGGCCTGGGGCCTAGGGTTGGTTCCGAGCTGTCACCTGTCACTGGCTCAAGTGCATCCCCTGGGTACATCAGAGCTGCAGCCCAAAGGTGTGGCCTTGGCCTGTGTAATATGCTCAGTCCAACAGTGCATCTGCAACAGTGTAAGTGTTCAATATTTGGTATTTAGCCCCAATCCTGTGCAGTTTGTGTAACCTGCAGTACCGTGGTTGGGTGGCTGCCACTCCCCGATGAGACAGTCTGAGCTCCTGCAGGTCAGGCTGTAGAAAGCAGAGATGTGGACATTGCAGTGCAAGTGTGCAGAGCCTCCTGGATCCCAGATGTATATCCCATTCCTACCAGATACCAGGGGAAGGCTCTTCAGTCCGGCAGTCCAGCAATGTTTGGGATGTAAGATCAGCGTTTCCTGCACCTGCAGTTGCCAAGGCTCAGAGCAGAGGTGGAGGACTTGGTCACACATTGCAGCTGGGCTGTACAGTTCCATCTGCACCCCTGTCCTGACCCATCAGGGATGACTGAACCACTCCTGCACTCAATGTACTGGGAGGGATTTGACTCTCATTCTGTTTTGTACTGGATAAATAGGGATTTCTAGTCACTGCCACAGGAACAGGCCATGTTTAAGAATGTAAAATACTGACAGTGTTGTGAGAAGTTGCCTGTTTGGTGTAATAAATACGCATCTTTTAAGCTGAAAATTTACATGATGTTTTCTTTAAACTCTTAGAGCCCTCCTGGTATTGACAGCAGAATGGCAGACAGTGCTAGGATTTCTTTACTCTTTGAAGGCTGCTGTGCCATTGGCTCTCTACTTTCCTGCTCAAAAATGTACCAGCTCATGCTTCCCTCTGTCTGGCCTGATTCCGAGTAAAATCATTGCTACTGCATTAAATACGAGTAAACCTTTACATCTCTCTACATATTTGAATTTGATTATCAAGTTAGAGGCTTAAAAAGAGTCTTTAAATAACAGGCAGCTTCCTAGATCTAAACAAATCAAACCCAAAATGTAGCCCAATTTATCAAACAAAATAGTCCTTTTCTGGTGCAGTTCACGTTATGCTCACTTTTTTTGCAGCTTAGCTAAAATCAATAACTTATTCTATTGAGTGTTAGTTTATTTGTGTACTGAATTATTCTGATTTCACATGCTCCATTAGTTTTATAATTACTTCAGTGCTTTGCACAGACTCTTCACTTTAAAAGAGAGGTATTTGAAGGAAAAAACCCGCAGGTAAAAGCACAGTAGTGATGCATTGTGAGTGTCTTACAACACATCTCGGTTTTTTGAAAGGTGGAATAAGTTGAAGATCATGCTTCTGTTGAACTTCCTTAATCTGCTGCTGTCCTGTGCACTAACAGCTCCACTGGGAAAGGGGACAGGAATTGTACGTGTGGGGACGAACAGAAACTTGGAGAAGGATGATTCAAGCACCAAACAACAATTGAGATGTGTGAAGCAGTCAAGGAGGTTTAACTGCATCTTCTGTTAAATTTAATTA